ATATTTAAATGCTAAGTATAATAAACACAATTCCAAAACAAAATTGTGTTACAAAACTCCAAAAAGCAAAAGACTTAGTGCTTAAAATAATATAATTATCATTCAGCTAATTTTTGAGAAAAATTCTTTCTGTTCAAGGTAATAGGTTTCAACGTTTCATCTGAATATGTGCCCAGAAACTGAAAATCTGCCAGCAAACGTTTCATGAGAAATTGTATTGTACTGGAGTAAGTAAGCTTATATTTATGTGTATTTTTTATCAAAATAAAAGATCAAGTAAGTTTTGTTGTCTCAGCTTACTTAGAGAAACTTATCCATACATACATACACACACAACAGCATACAGGGAATAAAAAAGAAATAAAAACATCTTATGAACTTACTAAACATGTGTTCAAAACTATGAATTTATAGCAGATCAGTCAAAAGTTAACATTTTCCTAATCTGAAAATGTATTTCCAATTGATATCTCCACGCACAGAAATGCTATCTTCCTCGCACATCTGCTTACGAGATTCACATGCCACTGGTCTTGAAGTAACTCCTACCTACATCTATATGTTTAATGTGAAATGTGTTAGTGCATGATGATTCCATCATGTGACAAAAGCCCTCCACCAATAGGAGGGCAACACAACCTTCATGCATAGTAACTCCCCCTAAGCACTTGCAATAGTGATAATATAATTCTTTGACAAAGCAAGACAAAAAAAATATGCACCGGAAGTGAGGAGAACATGTGGGAATGTGTGTAAAGAATAGTGGCAGAAATACATTTTCAGATTAGGAAAATGTTAACTTCTGAGACAATAACTCAACTCCACATACAGAAATGCTAAAATCCCATGTTGAAACTGTCGAGGGGCCAGTGAAAAAATTTACCTAGATGAGCTCCTATCAGAATGCATCCAAAGGGAAGCCATGGAGTGCGACACCTGATGGCAAGAGCTCAATAGGGGCACAGCCTTGAGAGACCACATCTCATCTCAACTAGAATATACTTTTAGCCCAAAAATGTAAGGGAAGAAAAGAAAATGAGTTCCAAAGTGACAGGAACAGGTGCAATGAGGACATGAACATCCGAGCACTTGCACACAAAAGGTCTGAAAAGCCAATATTTGTAGTGTGGTTAGGACCTGATCATACTGTAGAGTGGGTGCTACTGAACTCTACTGAACAGGCTTTGACTGCAGAAGGAGGGCACATTATGTTTATTTTATGTTTCTAATGGTTGATCCACACCACACAGACAATGTCACCACTGCCTCACTTCTTACCGTACTGCACTAATACCAAATGGAGAGGATTTTCCAAGATCCACCATCCCAGCACAAGGAACTGGTAAGTGGCAAGGGTCTTCCATACTCCATTTGAAAAAAAGGAGTGGGAACTCACACTGTGAAGACCTGGAGAAGAATCAGGATCCCCATCAGACCACCAGCCAGAAAAGTTTTTTCTAGAGACAGTGCGAGCAAAAGAAATGAGCACACTTCCCTGGTGCTGGCTTTTTCCATGACAGTCTGTGGAATTGGTAAGATTTGAATTGTACAACTGCAGTAAATATGTATACCACAAAGATACCTTAAGTGGTCTTGCAGAACACCCCATTTTGCAGTGGGCACTGGTAGAGCCAGAGTGTGTAGTTTGAGCACTTTTCATTATCCTGGCACCATGCAGATTTTTTTGGAAATAAGCATACCCTGGGAAGCAATACCAGCCACCTGGTGGGACCCTAAATAATGAAAAGAAAGAGGAGAGAAAGAATAAATACACATACCTATCTCAAAGATAGTGGGTCAGTCAAAGAATGGTGAATGGTGGAAGTCAAAATCCAGAAGAAGCCAAATAATAGAGATAATGAGAAACTAAACTGTGGGAAATCATCCACATGCCTGCCTGGAAGATTTCACCTAAAAGGCTAGCAAAAATGGGAAACAAGAGAATGAGTCAGGTGACAAATGTTTTGGGAAAAAATCTGAGACAGCCTGTAAGCATCCACATTCAGGAAAGTATATATCAATTGGAGAAGTTAGCAGACCCATCCAGTAAGTGTAGAAGGGGAGAGGTCCCAGGGCATAAACAGATGATGACGGGGACCCCAAAAGGGAGATGTCATTAGTAAAACTGAACAGCCCAAACAAGACAGTAGTCAATCAGAGTCTGAACAATCATAAAGATGATATAAAAAAGGAAGGGATATAGGAGAAAAAGTGTGGTCAGCTACCTGATCAGCAGAGGTCTTTGGAATAAAAGACCTGTCCAGATAGAGGAAAATACAAGTGCTATAGAAGAGAGTACAAGAATAATCAATAGCATAAATGTCCAAATGATGGCAACCACTGGCAAGAAGTAGGAGGAAATAAGTCTTGAAAGAAAGATTGTATAAAGAGCAAGAAGCCAATGGCTGAAACAGGTCACACGTGAGAGTGTGCAAAATTACATTCAAATCCCAGTCAGACATGGGAGTTGGTGAAGAAGGAAGGAGCAGAAAAGAGTGAAGAGTACAGGGGAAAAAAACACCCTGTGGTATCAAGAAAGATGAAATGTAGTGGATAATACCACCCAATAACCAGCAATGGTGAAGACCAACACACCATGATTGAACAACCAAGTAAAATGGGCAGAAAAATGGTTAATAGTAGGATGACTGGAAAGAAAGGAATGGGGAATGGACAAATGGCAACAGACAAATCATTTACAAACAAAGTTGAAGGGCAACATGAATGAGACAAATAAAATACTACACAAACAGTTAGGCCAGCTCAACATGCAATGGACAGTGTATCAAAGCAAGAATATAGAAAATTATGAGATCAGTCCTAGCTGACAGCATCGACAGCCAGAGCTAAAGTATAAGGAACTGGAGACCAGAAGAAAGAGAAAGTTCAGAGGGGTGGTAAAGGCACCTATGAGAGGCATACCCAACCAAGAACAAATGTAATGAAAAACCTAAGGATGTAGAAACCACTCTGTTGGTAGAATACAGTCCAGCCAAAACAGGCAGTCCACCAACAGGTTCATAGCTCTTGGCGACACAACAAGCCCAACGTGAACGGGCTCAGAAGAGTAGGCCCAATTCCCAAAAGCAAATGGTCCTGGAACAGGTGTCCCCTTGACGGTTGATGTAAAAATGAAAAAAAAAAAAAAACGTAGAATTGTTGGAGTGGATCATGACCAAGTGATGACCAGTACAAGCAGTAAATGGGAACATGACTGACAAACAGTGAAGTGGCAAAACAGATTGTCAGTGAAGACCCCTATCTGTTGAAAGAAAACTTTGACCAAAGGTTGGCAAACCAAGACAGATGGGTGCTTACAGGACCCAAACTGACAGGATAGTTGCCAACGAGATGTGCAACTGCCCTGATGGCAGGCAGAGGGAGTAAACTAAATAGTCTTAAGGATCAGGGTTGTAGAACAAAAAACATGAAGAATCATAAAGTACTGGTGAAAGATAAAGAAAGGAACATATCTGAGAAATGAAGTACTGAAACAGTGTTGACAGCTGAGGACTTTCCTCAACTAGTAGGGAGGTACCCAATGTAAATCCAGTATGAGAGAACAGGCAATCAAATTCTCTTTCCTCCTGTTCAAATTAAAAATTAAGGGAAGGAACATCAGAAGAATGGACAGGAACAGAAGGTCCAAATTGCATGATGAACTACACAACATGCTGCACAATGGCTGTGATGTCATCTTTAGTCAAAGATCCCCTTGAAACCATAGTAGAGATGGGGCCTGTGTAGAGTCACATCACTTGCACAGGACAAAATTGAAGTCACCTTCACTTGAGAATTCAAGTATAATGAAAATCAAAGTTTCATTAATGAATGCAAATCTCATCAAATTGAAGCCAGACAAAATTTAAACATGCGTGCCATACAGTGTTGGGGAAAAGAATGATGTTATTACGAGTGCAAGTGCATAGAGGTTGTGTCGCCCTCCTGTTGGTAGAGGACTTTTGTCATACGATGACATCATCATGCACCAGTGCAGTTCATGTTAAACACACAAATTTAGGTGGGAGTTAGTTTAAGGTTAGTGCCATGCAAATCTGAGGCAAACAAGAAAGGAAGATTGCATTTATGTGTTAGGGGCAAGTTATAGTCTCAGGATTAAGGCTTGAGATGTCTGCAAAGATTCCCAGGTAGTCTTTGAAATCACAACTATCACATATGCATTTTGTCACTATAAAGTTTTTGCATATTCTTTCTTAAGTTAGATAACAAATTAATGCTATATATTTCACACAAATATCTAGTTTTTACTTAACTTTTTTAAATCTCTTGATCACATATTACTCTTATAATTTCTACATTTTCATAATCCAAAACTGTGTTAGGAAAAGATATGATTGAGGAATGAAGCGTTTCCACACAACAACAGACTTTTCAAGTGTAAAAAGCTCATACTATAAAACTGTTTTCAAAATTTCACCAAGCTTTAATCTTTTTTTTTAAAACCTACCTCTTTAAATTTGGAACTCAATACAGCCTCTAAACTATTGATAATTTTATCAAGGTACGGTGTTAAAACAGACTTTGGACAGTCTTCAAAGAAATTCACTAAGGCGGCCCCAGCATGGGCCTGAACTCTAGGATAAGCTGGATTTTCAAGAAGCATTAATAGCCCAGGTAGAACCTGAAAGGATTGAATACACAAAGACCTTTTAAATTAGCCTGGTGTTCCATTAGTTTAAAAAGCAAAATTACATTAATATTTTACAAAAGTTCAAACTACTACTGTAGAAGAATGAGAAACATATAAAAATAATCTAACTCTTTATATGGTTAACAACAACGTAATACTGGGTTCAAGTCTTAATAATGTTGACAACACTAAAATTCTAGATATGTTTTTATGAAAACATGCATTAAATTTTGGTAAAAGTCTTCACAAAACTGAATAAATAATATAAAAAATAAAATGAGTACAATAGCAAGTTGTACATGAAGCTCTAATACAGCTCTGAATAAGATTCTGAAAAAATAATTAATCCTACTGGAGTTCCTAATATGATATACACCTTCAAAAATTTCAATCATTCACAAGGCAAAAGGAGTATTTAACAATTCTTCATATAACCTGATAATTTACTTTATATAAGAGTTTGTATTTGCAAACTGTTTAAATCCACAGAGTATGAAATTCAGTTTTATACTTACTTTATCATGGAATTTTTTTTCAAATGTTGGTGCAAAATCAGTAGACATTTGTCCTAAAGCATTACAAGCTGCATATTGAACCCTAGGATTCTTCAAGTGTAGAAAAACAAAAGTTAATTATACTCACAAAAAGAAATGGATTCATAAAATACAAAGAAATGAATGATCATTATCAATACTGTAGATAAAATGAAAGAAACTGAAGGTTAAAGCAGATGGGATAATTCTAAAATATTTAATATAATCAAACTATGAATTTATTATACATTCATGGAAAACTATAAATAGGTAGTCATCTACCTTCCAGAAGGAGATATGGAGGATTAACTGCAGATCATAAAAATGATTTGCATATGCAACCCATGGCATCATTGGCAACATAATTGGTTTATGACAAATTCCTGACCATTAATAGTGCAATACCATAAAGGAATGAAAACAGAAACTTTTGGCTGATCCTAGATCCCACACCACAGAGCTCAGAAGGTCCAGAAACCATCCTTCCAGGGTCTTTATGCTCTCTGGTGCATTCTAGGACATTCTGAGGCACTAAATATTCAAATTTTTCACTGCTAAGATGAGCAGTAAACAATGGAATTTTTTCAACATTAATTCATGTTCCAATGATCAAAGTTACAGACCAGTTAACATACAAACTAACCATTGCATAAAATACTTTGACAGATACTTCATACAAGTTTATAATTGCAAAAATTAGACCAGTTAAGTAAAAGTGGTTAAATGATGAAATACAAGCAATACTTATACAAAAGATCAATTTCCACTAGGGAAAATTACTGCCCAATCCTTTACAGATGGAGTGTTTTAAAAGGTAGATACAAAATATTATGTACATTCATCTATGAATCTTCACTTTTCCTGTTTTTGGTTTTTTCCTATTCTAAAGCAAACTGATGCATACTGAATTTTACATGCATTATGACAGCCATTATTTCAGTAAACTAAATTGGAAGATCCCAATTTAAACTGCAGCCAAGTGTAAAAAAATTGAATGTGAAAATCAAAGAGAACAAGTGATGGCTTTCTACAAATTTTTAAGCAGTAATTGTCATTCAAGTGGTTACCATTTTTCATAAATAGCTGTCAATACACAAATTAAAGTAAAATTCTATAAGACAATATGAGGCATAAAGCAAATATATATAATCAAATCACTGAGTACTCTTTCACAAGACTTGTCACATTATATAAAAAATAAAATAACAAAACAAGTTAAACTGAGTTTACTATTTCATATTGTCATAATATACACCACAAAAATCAATAAATTTTAAAAACAGATTTAATGTTATTTCATTACATTTGTCATATTATAGAACATAAAACTACACAAATTAAATCTACCATTACTCCACTAAGCTCATGTTTTACAACAATGACGACAACAGATTTAAAAAGCAAACTAGACAAAAGGACTTTTTTCATTAAACATTTTATACAACATAAATAGAAAAATGTGTTAGAAATAAAGTACATTTATACATTAAGTTACTTAAGATGAATTCTACAAAATACTGGACCTACAGGATCTTGAAGGTAAGGAAGAATTCCATCAACTAACTGTGGTAGAGTTGCTTCCATCTGCCTATGGCAACCCTCACCAATAGCTGATACTGCCATTAGTCCTGCATGGCGGTGTTTCCAATCAGCTGCACCAAAAATTATAAGATTGCTTATCTTTTAATTGTTAGAATTAGCTCTACATCTAAGCATTTTTAATCTTGAGCTAATTATTGTTGCTTTAAAGTTATCTTCTTACAAAATTCTTTAGACTTTAAGTAAATCTAAAAAAATGACATATCTACTCAATGTTGTAAGAGTTAATTATGAGGAACACAGCTGGAGCAACAAAGAAAGTGAACCTAATGAGGAGCACAAATGGAAGAACACAAAAAATAATTAATAAGAAGCACTGAGTGACAAGAAGTAACACCCAGAACAACTAGAAAAGCACCAAGTGAATAAAGACTAATGTATAGCATGGATGGAATGCATTCAACAAATGAAATCTAATGAGGAGCATGGCTGGAATAGCTCCAAGCAAATGAAAATTATTTAAGATCACGGGTAGAAAAAAAAAAACAGTAAAAGAAGATTAATTAGAATCACAACTGCAAGAGCACCAGGCAAATGTACATTGATAAGGAACACTAAACAAATGATGATTAACACTATCGCTCCAGGAATCCCTTACTGAGCATGACACAAGGTTTTAGTGTCTTACATTCAAAATTATTAAACTACTTTTTGTTTATGTTATACCAATTAGAATATCATAGAATCTTAGCTAATAATCCATATTTTATTAATATACAAGTTTTAAGTTCTTAATTCTACAAGGCAATATTTAAAAAAATCCTGAATTTCCACCAGCGTGACCCACATAACACATTTTAACTTAGCATGTCATCATCCCTATTTTATCACCACCCCTTAAAAATGTATGAAATTAAATGTAAAATACTCTGTATAAAATCGTTATTGATGAGACAAACCATAATTTATATAGTCTTCAATTTTGTTTGGTTACATAGCTATCGAATAGAAAATCCTGTCACACCCACCTGTTACATCATTTCTCAATTCCCTGATAGTTTTCTCTTACATTTTATTATATATTACCTATAACCAGTAGAAAGTCAAGGTTTTCATATATCAAATGACATATTGCATAACATTGTCTTCTCAATAGGAAAGCATTAATATCACTCACAGTACAAGATTTGTTCCCATGGGAAAGTTAACAACTAGCTTGGATGAATTTGTAATGGCTTTTGTTAGAAAACCAGAAAAATTGAGATGAAAGTGAATTTGTCTATTTTTTGCATGCTATTAGTTTATATTCTTTGGTGCATTATTTAATTAAAAAATTATTAAATGCATTACTATTATTGATATAAAAAGTTAGGGTTAACTCTCTTCGAAACCAGAGAGCAAGAAAAAGATTAGTTAAGTATTTTATTTCTTGTTCTTCATATTTATTCTTAGTTGTTATCATAAAAGTAACTAAAATCTAGAAATCTAGATCATTCTAAGTTATTTAAGACTAGATTAATTAAAATAAGTAATAATAATATATTTAAAATGGTTCACGAGGCACGCACGCGAGCAGCTCGTGATTAATGTAATTTGATAGCGTAGTGTGACCTGCATGTTCTCCGAGTGATTTACAACTTTTTATGGTACGGAAAATAATGAGACGTGGTTCAAAGGGCAACAAAATAATAAAATGTAATCATAAATAGATGTATAATGTTACAAACTTAGAGCTACTTAGGATAAACGAATGTAGTCTCATATTACAATTTGAAGTCATTTTAGAAAGAAAAAAAAGGTTAATTTAGGTTTATTTCGATATTTCTTGGTGGTTACGAGGTCAGTCAAATTGACTGATCCTGTTTTGAAATAGGGTACAGAAAATAACAGATAAACTATAGTTTAACTGAAAAAAACGTTTGAAATGCATTTAGGAGGTTTTAGGGATTACACAAAGGAAAAGTATTTTTAATTTTAACATGAAAATTACTTTGAACACAGACTATTCAAAACAAATACTCAATATATTCATGGACAAATCTTTATTTTATTAAAAATACTTCACTAAGAAATATGACTTTTTGTATGTGGAAGACTTGTAATATTAACTGAAAGACTGCCAAATTGTTGTGAAGACATACACACTATATTGAGAGCTATAAGTATGAAATCTATAAACACTTTAAAACGAGTACAAAAAAGGTCACATGGTTGGTCAAATCGACCGAGCCCAAATTGAGAGTGTTAATGGGAAGAACAGCTGGAGAAATACGACAGGAAAGCATTAAGCAAATGAGTAGCACAGCTTGAAGAGTACTAAGCAAATGAAATTTAATGAAGTACATGGCTGGAAAAGCACCATCAACTGAAGACTAATGACAAGCACAGTTAGAAGAGTAACAAACAAATTAAAACTATTGAGGTACGAAGCTGGAAGAACATTGACAACTGAAGACTAATGAGAAGAAACTAGAACATATTCAATCTAATGAGGAGTACAGGTGAAAGAGTAATAAATGAAAAGAAACAAAAAACTCTTGAACAGTATGATTCAAAGAGAACCAACTGAAGAAACACTAATGAAAGCACCAAGCAAAGAGTATCATGTGAAGACTAATGAAGAGCATGGTGTGAAGACAGATTTAATACAAAGCAATGAGTGAAGCCAATATGCTAGCATGGATGGAAGAATATTATGTGAATAAAGACTAATGAAGAGCAACAAATGAATGAATTATTAACAAAAAGCACTGTTCAAAGACATCAAGGTAATCATTACTAATAGAGAACACAGTAGAGTACAAAAATACTGTTTGAATGTATAGCTGGAAGAATATTAATTAAATAAAGGACAGCTTACCACTACTTAACATGGCTGGGAGAATGTTAATAACTATTGGCAACATCACTTTTCCTCCTAAAGCGCAAGCAAGCCTATCCAATCCTGTCTCTCCAACTACTGGGTTACTGTTTGAAAATTGAATGACTTATGTTAAAAATATAAAAAGTACAAATACTATAACAAAATGAAAGCAACTAACCCACTACATACATTATTTGAATATGCTTGAAATGGAAAATGTAGTCAATATGCATCAAGAACTGTCATAAAAGGCATCATTTATACTAATCAAAAAATCTCCCAAAGAATATCAAGTAACAATACATATTCTATTGCAGTACGAAAAATACTTTAAAACCTATTATTTGACATCTGGAAATATTCTTCTACTTATTCCTATGATGACCCACGACCAAAGTAACAAAATATTTCCAGGATCTGTGATATTACAAGTGAAATGAGATGTGCAGACAGGACAGTGAAAAAGACAATGAACCTGCAGATGAAGTCCTGACGTTCATTGTAAATTTTCTTTTTACTAGTTCAGCAATAAATCTAAACACAATTTTCAAATATTTCAGGCAGGCAGTAGCACTGCCTATGTAGGGATGTTCATTGAAATGGTATTTTAAATACCTCCTCAATCGGTCATCAGAACTTCAGAATACTATACAGTGTTTCCTTTTATAACAATATCCATGTAATGACTGAGTCACAAATTCAGGGAATGTCTGTAAATATCATAGCAAAATTTTGAATTTCTTGTTGTTCTTTCTTCTGCTTCATTTTATTACATGATAATCAAAAACCAAAACAATGATGTTAACTAATTTCACTGAGGTTACATAGTTTTAAACAGTGTATCTGCCTTTATCAGAATTATTAACTATTAGTAATTTAAAAAAAATAATTATAGTATAATTAATGTTATCATTACCCCTTGAAGTTAGCTTTCTTAAGAAGTTTCTTTAAAATGCTTATGTACGGGATGAAACAGGAATTATCATCCAATAATAGATAACCAATAAATATTACAGTTGGAACCTCATTGTATTTAGAACTTGGTTATAAATACTACCTTCCTATGTCTACTGAAACACTGCATTAAAAAAAAACAAGCAAACAAGTAAAGAATAAACATTTGAAAAAAAGAAGTAAATGTAGGGATGGCTAATATAAATCTTTCAAAAGCAATGCAAACAAGATAGTAGGGATGGCATTTGTATCATCCCTCCATAATAGAAGAGACAAGAAAGAATTAACATATAGCAATATATATAACTATTCAATCACAATTGGGTTTAATTTATCCTATGTTTGTCTGTTAACATTCCACTGCAACATGTTCCTGGGCTATTATGTAGGAATGATGCAAATGCCATCCTTACTATCTTGTTTGCAATGTTTTTGAAGGACTGAGATTAGCCATCCCTACATTTTTTGAAAATTGTTAAATTGTAATATCTAAAAAATTTGGAAAATCACTTACACAGTAGTTTTATATCCAAGTATTAAATCACATAAAATGGTGAAATTGCTCATTAATAAATCACTAGCTCAAACATAACTATATCATAGAGAGTCAAAATCTAAACAACAGCTTCACAACTGCTTTCATTTTAGTTAAGTTTGAATTCCTAATTTTCTTTCAAACAAAAATTTACTAAAGCATATAGCAAAAGTTAATATTTATTACATACAAAAAAAATCTAATAATTTTTACCT